CAGGCAACATACTTGCCATGTGTCAATTGGTTGGGTGCGTGCGTATTTGTAGGTACTTGCTTAGACGTAAGTTTGTAACTTTTTAGGCCAACCTGTTAATGAAAATATCACACCAAATAGCTAAGTGCTTAAAAATATTTTTACTCTGTGCTTACATTTCGTATTCCAAGCATGTGGATAATTCACACATTATTATAGACACTGGTGAGTCTAATAATGGGTGAATGGACGACGAATGGATGTAGAATATGCACCGCTGAGCATAGCAAATGGATGCTTTATTGTGCTCGAAGGGGCCATGGCTTTACGCAGCTCTAAGCTAAGCTCTAAATTTTTTTGTACGGTAAAGTGAAGTTAATAGGCAAATTAATGGTGTACAAACAAATTAATAGTTCAACAGTCAATTCGAAATTCGAAAAATCGTAAATAGAAGGTTACGAGAAAATGAGTATAAAAGCAATAGTTATTATGCTCATTTTAAATCAATTTCTCTCTCTTCAGCTGAAGTAAATGTATGTTAATTGTTACTGAATTTGAGCTTAGTTTAAATGCTGACGCTGCCACATATTTATTATAATTATTCGTATAGATGTATAATAGTAATCCTCTTCGGTGGTCTCAGATATTAGCATTTTTCTTACATTACTGTTAAAGCAAAGAACTTAATTATTATGAGCTCTTATCAGTGTATTTTGTTTTGCACTTTTCATGCTTTTGCTAGTAGATTTATTAACACGACAAATAGCTTGCACAGTTTTTAAACTATAAAACTCCGCCCAGGGTATCATATGTATGGAACATAAAAAATGACATAAAAATATGAAATATACGTAAACTTAATTTTGGATCATGGATTACGGATCTGCATAACGTTTTTCTATATAAGGGGGTTTTCCTAAGATATTTTTGCGTTGGTTTTTGTAAATTGTTCTTGCTGATAGTTCTCTGCTCGGAAATTTTTTTTATTTTGAATAAACTGCCAGCTAAAAAAAAAATATCCCAAAAATCACTATATTGTATTATTAGCTAGAAAAATCTAGAAAATCTTACTTTAAAGTTGCAAATTTGTATGCATAGTGGTGCAAAAAATATTTATCACCAACATTTTTAAAACACAAAACTTGAAACCATAAAACCTCAAACCTTTTTACATCAAACTTTTAATAAACGGACAATAATGAGAAGAGCGAAACTAGAAAAAAAAACAAACAAACAAGCAAGCGGCGAATTAAATTAAAAGCATAAATAAATTGATTGCACAAAGAGAGCTCCCTGCTGTTTTAATGAGTTTATCAACAACTAAAACTACTGAGTGATGAAAGCGAGATGTAACAAATGCTATTGCAAAGAAATAATATTTTTAATGGCATGAGAGCATGCAGTAAATATTGAGGCGAAAAGACTGAGTTATAGTGAAGATAAATTTAGTTGAAGAGCGCTCTTTTTGTTTTAACTCACAAAAGACGAAATCAAAATTAATTGCTCTTGAATTGAGTTGTAGTGAGGAAAAAGATGGAGGAGTTTTTTTATAACTCTGTCTTAAAATAGACTATTCAAAAAAGAATTTCGGCTAAAAAACAGCTTCAAAACGTCCTTTTCAAGTCTTAATACGGCCATTTTTCTTCGAAATGCAGTCTATCAAAAATCACCGAAAAATATAGAATTTGGTTCTTTGCTCCTTAATTTAGTTTGCGAATTACATCATCTGGTGTAAGGTATTTAAATGTCAATCTCATATGGTAAAGTTCATAAAAAAGCCACCAACGATTTACAGACTGAGTTATAGTTCATTTCCAACAAGTCTTAACTGCAGTTTATGCCTATTGCAACACGGAGATTACAACTCGAAGGGGATAATTCCTCCTACTAAGTACAAGAAAACGAAAGGAGAAAAGCAAAAACTAAGAATTAAAGCTTGCCGCTCACCCTATGTTGAAATTCTTGGAACTTATCTGAGCTCTTAACTGCAGTTAAGCCTTTGGTGCAAATAAGCTATTATACTTTTTATTGTGAAAATCAGGCATTACATGTAAAGCTTTTTTTACACGTTGTTTAAAACAAAAAATGTCAACAAAATTTTATTTTCTTGGTATGCATAGGTAAACGTGTAGTAACTGAACTTACCTTTTAACCAAATCGAAAATAATGTATTCCAATTCCCTTCCGAACCACTTTGAGTTCTACGCTTCTTAACAGAGTAGTTATCAATTTGGCACACTCACTGATGTCCTCGCTAGGTTTAATTTTATGCTATTTATGTTTATTTGTACGTGGTTTCGACAATTAGCCACAATGACGTGTTCTGCTGTGTGGTGGATAAAAAAATATATCCAGAAATAGTTGCTATTGCGGGTGCTTCAACTGCAATGACACAAAGATAGTTAAATACAAGATTAGTGAGTATTTAATTAGCATTAATTAACATAAATATGTACATACTTATGTAGGTACAGAAGACAAAAATAAGTAAGGAGGATACAAAGTATGAGTAAACCTTTTTTCTTGAGCAACTTGACTTGACACTAACGTATTTAGTGAACTTTTCCTTAATTTAATAATCTTTATAATGTTGCGAGTAATTTTCTCAAGTAGCTCTAAAAATTTACCTGCTCTTTAAACACAAATTTGGTTCTAAAAAGAAAATTAATTTTAAAAGCTACTTGCGAAAACGGCCTTTATTTTATTTATATTTAAACTTTTATAATTTTTCCTATTTTTATTAAATTTTATTTTGCTCAAGGTCTGCTACACTAACAACGTATTTCACAACATTAAAACCAAGATCTTAAAGGTCGCGCTTCGTTGGTAAGTCTGCTAACTTTCTGTGGTGTATTTTGACTCACTTGGTATTTAATATCTTAACTTGTCTGCCTCGTTTGGCCAATCTGCCACATTAAATGGCTTGGACTGCTATATGTATGCGGTCACAGTAGCTATTCGGCGAGTAGACTAATGAATGAATTCAGTGGTAACTAAGCATTGAAGACGAGCTTAAATCGATTAAGCGCAAAAATAGTTTAGTCAAGACTTTGAAACCGTCAATTGGCAAAGGCCATTAAGCCATATTTAGTGCCGATTGTACGCATTTCCAATAAATGCCAGCACAGTGCTATTTTCGATGGTAGGCCACAAAATTTTGTGCTGACCATGAAATGGCGGTGCGCGCGAGTAGGCCAGTTGAAGATCGGCTTCTCTGAGCAGGCAAATGAAAGCCGATGTTAAATAAGCTAAAGATTAAGGCTAGTGATGGGTAAAAAGGTAGTTATTTTTACATAAAGAAATACGACGCAAAAAGGGGTTATTTTTGGCTTAATTACATACAATCTTGAGGAAAGAATCCAGATCAGCCCAACAAAAAACAAAAAAAAAATCGCAAAAGTTAAAAAAAATCCCAAGAAGTTTAACCTAGAGAACTTCAATATAGTACCAAGACGTGTTGAGAAGAGCAACCAGGCGGCTTAAGAACAAAAAAGCCGACGGTATATCAGCTGAGCCGGTGGCGAAGAGTTGGGCGCGCATGTACCAGCTGTTAAGCAGAATTTGGTCTGATGGATACATGCCCGAAGACTGAAATTTCAGTGTATTTTGTCCAATTCACAAGAAGGGAGATCACGCCGTTTGCGCCAACCGTCGAGGAATAAGCCTTGCGTACAAGCTCCTGTCGACGATATTGTGTCAAAGCCGGAAGCCGTTAACGAACCAACTAATCCTTATCAGTGTGGCTTATCAGTGTGGCTTCAGACCTAGTACGTCCACCATTGACAGGACTTTCATAGCACGTCAAATCCTGGAAAGGACATCATCTTTTGATAGCACGAAGAGAAGATACCTTTACGTTGCCATGTCTAAATTTGGGATCCCCACAAAACTAAATGATACGGCTATGTAGAGTGACGATGAGCACGACGTTCAGCTCCGTCCCAATAGGGAAGGACCTCTCCGCGCAATTTGAGACCAAACGAGGTTTTAGGCAGGGCGATTCACTCTTGTGCGACTTCTTCAATCTGACGCTGGAAAGCGCACCATATACGTACATATAGCAAACGAAAACGACATCGTTGGCGTATGCAGATGACATCGACAACTTCGGTCGAAACAAAAAGACGTAACCGCAGCATTTTTCAGTTAAGAAAATGAAGCTAAAGAAGTTGGCCTAGCGGTGAATGAAGGCAAAACGACACGAGTCCACGCTTTTCGCGATACACGTCACTGTTGGTAGCTATAACTTTTGAAGTAGTGAAGGACTTTGTCTACCTAATATCCAGCATAAACACCACAGCAACGCCAGCTTGGAGATCAAGTGAAGAATAACTCTTGGAAATGGGTCCTACTTTGGGCTCTGTATGTAATTGAAAAGCATCGTTCATGCCCGTTCTTCTATATGGCACAGAAAAGTGGGTGCTTTCGTGAGAACTATTCTACGAAATATCTACGGACTTGTTCGCGTATACAACGGGTATAGGAGAAAATGAAATGACGAACTGTCGAACTGATTAACGAAATGGACATGGTTCAGCGCATAAAAATACACCGATTGCGCTGGCTGGGACATTTCGTACGCATGGATGGCGACGCTGCAAAGGCACCCACAAACAAAATAGAAGGATCAAGAGCAGAAGAACTTGTATGCACTAGGGATGATCGAACGGCTAAAATTGGAACAGGACAGAGACGATTTTAGAAGCTTTTTGGTGTCCCAAAAACGCCCAGAGAGGTTAAAAAAGGCCGAAAATCACGATTGACATATACGTATCATTTATTATGAACGCAAAAAATACAAATAATAAAATTATAGTTTAAAAAACTAAAACCTCCCTATTATAATTGCCATTCGTACTGTCATCAGGTATGTAACTTGAGAATAGAAATCGCTGCATCTTTTAGGCGCATCAATATTACATATTTACATCCCGAGCTAATAAATGGAAGGTAAAAAGCCATGACACCAGTTACCATCAGAATCAACATTCCACTTTAAGCGTAGGAGATGCAATCAAAATACAGCAAGAAAACATTGAGTTTGCATTTAAGGAAACCAGCTATTTTAAAAATCTCACTAATAGAAGTTATATAGGATAACTTTTCTGAAATGAATTTTTGAAAGCTGATTTTCATAAATAAACCAAAATCGTTTTGAGCTGACTAATAATAGCACAGCGTGTGGCAGTTTTACAAGCTTTTGTTTAACTTGCTCTCTATGTATGTATGTATGTACGTATGTTTGTTAGAAGCAAATCTTGCAATAAATTTTTGACCAACTTCCCGAAGACCTAGAGACTTGAACTTCACAGTTGGCTCAGAACCCCATGACAGTGCAGTAAGAAAGATGAGTTAATCCGATAGGTGGCGCAGGAGTCGAGATATTTGAAAATTCCGTATTTATAGTCCGATTTGGTTCATATTTAGAACGTTTATTAATTGCATGAAAAGGAATAACTCCACTAAAAATTTTGGCAATAGGTGGCGCACGGGTCTGGTAAACCAGTATTTGTGATACGATTTCGTTCATATTTTGAAAGCTTGCTTTAAAAATATTTGTTTTTAAAATTATTTTATTTTATATCTTAATCCCGAGCGCCTATTTCGGGTACTTTGTTGATGTTGTAGCATTCGATTCATCATCACACAAACCAAGAAGAATGATAAAAGTAGCGTATTACAATTCGAAATTTGCTTAAGAATAAAATACCATGACGTCGTGTATGCAGGCACATACATATGTATGTATATGTACATTAAGGCGTATCACGACATTGAAAGAAAAAACGTTAAGCGTGTGTCCGTTTTATTTAAACACTCAAATATGTCGCAATAAAATTCTGGGTGTATTTTTTTTTCTAAATCGCGTTTTCTGCTATAACTTTTTTATTTTAATCCGATTTTTTAAATCTATATGTCGCTGAAAAGGTCTCACTCAGGACTGTAATTGGCCATCAAAGAGTTTTGACCTTCAAAATCGTTTTAATTAATATATTCACTAATTTTGGAATTTATTTTTACACTTTAAATCTGAAGCTCTCAAAACACAATGATGACCTTGATAAAAAGGGTTAGGCTTTATTTTTAATTTTTTTCTCGACAAGTATTCAAATAAAACTGCGCTAAACTTTTTTTCGTGATACGCCTTAATGTACATACATATATACACTACCACATATACAAGTATGCAAACATTAATAATCGTATATGGAAATAAAACACTGCAAATGCTATTTATCTGCTGACTGTCTGAAACCGAATCGTTGTCGTTGCGGCCTTCAACAGCAACGGCAACAGCAATCATCATTTACAAAGTGGTACCCCACAACGTCATCGTCGCCTTAGGACAGCCGATCGGAGGTCTGTCATATGGTTGGTTAGTCTAAGCTGTTGTGCATTCAATTGCAAGATGACGTTGCCTCAAAGTGTTACAAGCATGTAACTGAAACTCGAAAGCTGACACAAACAGCTGAGCTACGCTGCCACACAGACAAAAAACTTCTGGCCGGAGTTTTATAAGCGTAACTTTTTCAAAGCTCTAATCTAGCTATTTTTCTTTCTACTTGATTCTCATACCTAAAAGCCTGGTATATGCATACCTTTGCATGCACTTAAATACCTGCTAAGCATTCTCATCCTGCTGCAAAGCATTGTATGGATAAATTTTTTGTGTTTATCATTTACTTTGTCTTGATACAATCTCTTATTCTACCGTCGCTTCTACTGTTTTGACGCATATTTCCAGCTAAATTTTGCTTTATTAGTTTGTGTGGTAATGTGCGTATCTATGTGTGCTTTTCCGCCACTTAATTCATGTGTGGATTATCGTTGCTTTTTATGCGGTTGCATAAATTATTGCCACTTCATAATAGTGCGGCCTGTGCAGACGAATGCAACTGGCAGTATGAAATGAATGGATGACTAGCTGGCTGACTATCTGAGTGGCGCGGTGACTGGTTGTTAATAATGCCAGTGAAAAAAAAATGAAGACATTATGAATGAATTTGCAGAAGGTTCTTGGTGAGTCGCAGAAAATGACATACATATACTCAAACATATGTACATACATACATATGTCTCTAGGTATGTACTAAAGTACTTTCTTGTCAGTGCAATTTTGCATGGTGATTATACATAGCGATCCGTTAGGTGTGTCGACTAGTAGTCATATCAACTCATGTCATGGCGTCAAGGCGAGCAGTTAGCCTATAAATTGCTAATGCAGTGAGGAAATATTCCTACGTACAGACATCCGCATGTGTACTTATTTTATTATATTAAGTTATCTTATGCTATTTGTGAAATTAAGCATTCTGCAGGATATTCTGTATTCTGGATGAATGTAGGTTGTAATTGTTTTTCAAGGTTATAAGTTTAATAAC